TTGTCATGCTGCTTATAACACAATACTGGTTGGGAGCATACTTTTTCCAAGTGAAAGAGGCCATGTGGTTCTCCAGTGGACTATGCTTTTTATCTCAAATATATATGCCATTTTTTACCTTCTGGATTCCTGTTTTGTTATATTGTCTGGCTTTTGGGGTGATGTAGTTTAATGCATAAAAGCTCCATCATCGAACCAAATTGATTCTGTGTGCTTTTAGGGGCTTGGTAGGAGCCCCATGGTTCTTATCTGTAGCATCTCTTTTAGCCACGGTTTTTAGTTCAGTTATATATTCAAATAGCATGCAGTGTGTTCCAGTCAGTTTTCCTGGCTTTGTCTGAAAGGAAGATCCTCCGTTTGATTTTATCATGTTTTTGACAAGGGTTAGTCTCCTTACTGTCAGATGTTAATACTCATCTGCAAATCTGAAAATAACAAGTGTGCATATCATTTGTGAAGGGGGAACAGGACAGAGATCTCAGTCCCAGCCTTCTGTTTGCCAGTCTATGGTATCAGTCTGAAATAGCGCACTCTAAACTTTGTTCTCATCTTGGTTTTGAACTTGCTTAGTACATTCTGCATAGAGTATCTCTGTGAATGTCCCTTTGTTCAGAACTTCTGGTCTGAAGCCTCCTCTTGGCATAAGTTGGCATTGTAGGGATATACTACGCTTCTTTGAATTTCTTATTTTGTTTCTTTCTTGAACATACAAGGCAAGATGTGGGAAAAGGGAGGAAGGGTTAAACATCTGGCAAAAAAAAATTCTGCATGAGTTTTTTTTTCTTCAAACACTTGTATACTTTCCACCTTCTTTCTCTCCCAAACCCCCTCCTAGAACATGATATTTCTCAGATGTCTCCCTTTACTGTTTTAAAATGATTCTACTTCTGCAAAAAATTAGGTTGCTTTACATTTTAATTACCAGGGCATGCGGTGTGTGTATGACATTCAAATCTTACTCCTTACCATACCATAGTCAGATCTGGCATTGGATCAGATCCTGAGGGGTATCTGTAACTGCGGAGCATCTGCAGCTTCCATTCCATTCTACCAAACGTTGAGTTCAAAGTGCCTCTCAAGGTGGAGGAGAGGGGAAGCAAGATGCAAATTACTACAATCTCACTCCTTGTGGGGGTGGGGGGAGTGCATGTGGTATCTGAAACTTTCCATGTGTCTGAGATTATAAATCAAGACTCTTACCTGCTGGTACATGCCACTCTTGCAAGTCTTTTTTTAAGAAAAGGGAGGAGGTGTGCTTTAGAGTTGTAGATTTAGGGGACATTCAGATGCATCATGTGAGCCATAGTGCTATTGAACTAGATAGACTCTTCTAAATGCAAGAGTAATTTGCCTGCAGATGGCAGCACCTTTCCAAAACAAAACAAAAACTGCTTATGTCTTGAAGGTGACTGATGTCACTAAGGCAGAATCAATGTTTGGAAGACAGCTGCATTAGTTTGCCATTTTCTCTGCTGACTTCTTGGCCAGTCTGTCTCCCGTTAATTGATTTTATTACTGCAATTCCAGGTGACTGCTCTGTATGATTGCATACTGCTCATTCCATGCAATAGGGGTCCTGTGCTTGTCTGTGTGTTTTTCACTAAGCTTAAAATATATATAATTTTATCTGAATCATATTTGCATGGTATTATATTGCAAATACAAATCATGGACAAAGCAGAACTAATATATGGAAAAGGAAATCCTATAAAAGGTAGAAGGGGAGGTTCAGGTTGTCATGTCATGTCTCTAATTGGAACAATTAATGCACAAAATTAGGATCGTATAGGTAGAATAGAATGCAGAGAGTTTGTGGAGCATGGAGGAAACGCAAACATGAAAATGTAAGAAATATGGAAACCAAAATTGGCCAGAGCAGCAGATAAAATTCTAAAATAGTTTGGAGAGCATAATGTGGGCTTATTATAAGAGACTGATGTGTCTCTTCTAAGTGGACAGTGCTGCTATTCCCCACCCACTTGCCCCTGCTGTGTTGGAGTCTTTTCTGAGAATGAGGAAGTATAGGTTCTCTGACTGTTATTATTGTTGGCATATGCTCAGCAATGTTGAACAGCAGCTAAACTGTTTCTGGGTTTTGGCATGTGTGGAGAAGGAGCATGCTTCGTGAACTTCATGTGTGTGGGGGTGTGCTTCATGGTGGTGCTCTAGGACATGCTGCAGAGAGTGTTATTTAAGTCTTGGCTACTTTTGGAGGAAATGCCACCCTTGGGAGGATAGGAACTGGAGTATTCAGCTGAGGTGATCCACCCAAATACCATCTGTGACTATGCACACATCCTACTGATTGACCCCAAAGAGTGACAGGAAAAGGATATCAAAGTGTATGTATCATACTTGTCTCAGTTTGAAGGTGTCCATCCAAGCTAATTTGGAAGAAGCTGCTGGGGGGTTGAGGGGGGAGGAGATGCAAAAGATCAGAATGGTATAAAAATTCCTCATTTACTACTAGATTTTTTCCTCAGAGCTTCTGTTCTTGGAGTCACTTTCAGCATCAGGGATGACTCTTAGGACAATCATAATTCCAGTAACATTAACACTACACTTTTCCTATGGGACATACTTCAGCACAGGCAGGTGGGTCCCTCTTGCTCTGATTGAGGCAAGGGCTTGTTCAGAAAAGGTTAAAAGCATTGCATTTCTGTTGTGATTTGAAAACAGCTTCACTTGTAATTTCCTCCTTCCTTTCTTTGTTAGTGTACCAAAATATTTATAGGAAAGACATTGGGTTTATCTTAGAAGCCAGAATGAGAAAAGGCTGGAATTTCCCGTCCTGTTCTGTGCATGTTACTCACAATTCAAAGGACTTCCAAATCAAGCAGTTATTACAGGAGCAGAGTTAAGAAGCCAAATAAGTAGTTTTGTTCTCCCTTTGAGGCACTACCTAAATTAAATTACTAGTTGCTGGTGGCTGCATGGAATCGATACTATCTAGATTTGCACTACAATAGTTGTTCTGAATTAATCAATATTTGTTTGGGAGCAAGCTGTGCTTCCTAAGTATTATGAACCTGTACCTGTCACACAGTATCACTGTGCCTTTCTTTCTTTCTTTCTTTCTTTTTTCTTTTTTTTTAAAACGTGATTCATTATTACTTGTTTTAAGGACGGGTCATCTGGTTTCAGAGGGGGAAATGGAAATACCATCTTTGTGTTCAACCAAAACATCGGCTTAGCACCATGAAGTTGAATAGCATCTGACATCAGCCACTGATCCTCTGCTTTTTATCTTGCACATATTTTGGGGAGGTGGTAGGAGGGTTAGAGATTGAGGGAAAAGAGAAATGGGGTGTTTAATTGTGGCTTTCTTTATTACAAGACACTAACATGACTCCCGTCTGTATTTAAATGCTGTCCCCAGGTTCCCACTATGGCTATGTCTGCGTGGAGTTTTCACTCTTGGAAGAGGCCATCGGATGCATGGAAGCCAACCAGGTTGCTTTACACTTCGGTCAATGCTGCTAGAAAAAAATTATTTTGCTGGGGGCGGGTGGAAAGCCAATGATCTCTTGGAGTGATTCAAAGGAAGATCTACTCTTGTGTCATATCCAACACTTCATTTAAAATTCCACTGTTTCCAGAACCTTGGAAAAGGCTTAGACATGCCCTTATAGACCATCAATGTTCTGCCCTATTTTGTGTTTTTAGCAGGTTGGCTAGATTTGAAACTGGTAGCTGAAAGATTCCAGGTCCAGGTTGTTGCATTTATACTGGAAGCAAAATCCAGTTGGAAAGAGCTCTGCTAGTATGAAACTTTTCACTTCTTAACAGTGTACAGTAATTGTAAATACCCTTCACTGTATACATAGATTTCAAGTTTAAGTACACATACACATGTAGTTGTAGGCAAGGTCTCTGCTCTGCAGCTCTGAGTTCAGATGTTACTTGCATACACTATTTTTCCATGTGCCTCATCTGGGTGGAGAATTTCTTGTCTGTGTCTCCCCTTGTATTTACATTGTCCTTCAGCAAATTGGAGTTGCATATATGAGGGCTGGCCTATGCACAGTTGCACTTGGTGAATCTAAAGGTTTCCAGTTATTTTAATTCAAAATGATTGTTTAGAGCATTTCATATTTCCAACTGTAACTGTAATTCTTGTCTGATTTGAGATCTGTGGCTATTGGTCCCTGTACCAATATGATGTGCCTAAAGTCTGTAAATTAATGACAGGGAAGAAGAGAACAACCCCCAGTGACACCTGTCCTCCAAACAGATTGCTCACCTGGAAGATAGACACTTCTGGATGGGCCCTGGTGGTCTGCCTAATGCTTGATACCAGTTCAGAGTTGCACAGAACAGTTATTCCCTTATGCCCTTCCTTGTTAGTTTTCTCCTGTTTGGGGACGAATGTAATCCCACTTCCTCCTTTAGTTTTATGTGAATAATAATCACCATAATTATCTAAATCTATCCATGCCTTAGCAATACCAATGACTACCTTGCTTTAGCTGAGCAAGAGCCACAAGTCACTAATTTTAGAATTGTGCATACAGAAATGTGTGGTTACAAATGTACATGCAACCCCACTGTTAAATTTCTCACTGCTCCCTTACATTTTCCTACGTGTGCAATTACAGTAGGAGTTCAAAGTAGGAACTTATTCACATTCAGTTAAAAGGGCAGCCATGGTCACTTTAGCTGAAATGCAGCATCCTTTCAGTAGTACCCACGTGTTTTCACTAAAGCTCATCCTATTTAAAACATACCTGGAAAAACTCTAGATAATATGAAGTAAACTTCATGGTAACCAAACCCTTCTACATGTGCAGTGTTGTCTCCAGTTCTGCTCATGTGTGACAGTAACCCCAAGGGACAGCCATGGGACCTGGGAGAGTAAATCTCTCTCCTGTTATGCTGCCTTTTCATTGCCCTGTTGAGACACTCCCAGAATGTTTTACTTCCATGTTTTTACTGACACAAGTTTTACATAATGTAAATGGAACCCTTCTGCCAGGCCCTGGGTGGCAGGAACAAGGGTGGGGTTCAGAATTAGGGGTTTAACACCAACCATAGTTTAAAAAAAAAAAAAAAAAAAAAAAAAAGGTTT